ATGCATAATTAGTGTGCATTGGAAGAGAAGACTGGTATGTGACATGCTCATTCCTGAATAAAATAAAACAGACTACTTCCCTCCCCATCCTGTATGATGTAATAAAGACAATAAATACAATCAGGTACTAATCCTAATGGATATATAGACAACGATAATGTAGAATGAAGACCCAAATTAAAAATTTTTTTGAAATTTATGAGATGTATGTTAAAAAAAAGATATGGCTCTACAAATCTTTGAGCTTCCTGGTTAAAAACAGTTACATCACATCTGCATTTGTACATATCTCTAGTAAAACTAATCTTGCTATCTGCTCTAAGACTGCCCTCCCCCAAGAAAAATGCTAATATTTAGCAAAATCATCATTTACCTTGTAGAAGATCAAAAAAAGATCATCCAGTTTCCCATGCAAATCACCTGCAGTGCAAATGAAAAATCAGTACTAGGTAGAAAGCAAGATGCAATGCCCATTTTGTTACAGACTTACAAAAGTGAAATACTGCTGATCCACTCCAAGTGTTCTCAGGGCATTGGGTTTTTACCCTATGACAATGTTAATTTGACAGGCAATTTGTCTCCATAGCACTCTTTTCTTCCTCTCCTATAGTAGGGGCATGCTATCATGATCAGTTTCCTATATGCAGTCAGTTTTCTATATGCAGTAATTTGCACAGGGCCAAGCACTGTGCTAAGGGTTTTACATGACCTTTACCTTGTTCAATCCTAATAACCACTCTGTGAGATGGGTTTTATCTTCATCATTCTCATCTTACAAATGAGGCTCAGAGTAGTTAAGTAAGTTAAGCAAAGTTACTCAGCCACCAAGTATCAGAGTTGGAATTCAAACCCAACTTTAACTCACTTCAAACCTCAAGCTTGGCCCGGCATGATGGCTCACACCTGTTAATCCAGCACTTTGGGAGGCCGAGGTGGATGAATCGCTTGAGTCTAGGAGTTCAAGACCAGCCTGGTCAACATGACGAAACCCTGTCTCTATTAAAATACAGAAATTAGCTGTGCATGGTGGCACACAGCTGTAATCCCAGCTACTCGGGAGGCTGAGGCACGAGAATCGCTTGAACCCAGGAGGTGGAGGTTGCAGTGAGCTGAGATCGTGCCACTGCACTCCAGCCTGGGCAACAGAATAAGACTCTGTCTCAAAATAAATAAGTAAATAAAAATTAGCCAGGTATGGAGGCAGGCACCTGTGATCCTAGCTACTCAGGAGGCTGACTGAGGTGGGAGGATTACCTGACCCTGGGAAGTCGAGGCCGCATGAGCTGTGATCATGCCACCACACTCCAGCCTGGGTGACAAAGTGAGACCCTGTCTCAAAAAAAAAACAAAAAAAAACAACCCCTCAGCCTCTTAGAAATTACTCTATACGCCCACACTGTAATCCCTAGGAGAGCAGCAACAGTATCTATTTCAGTCAGTGTTGAATCCCCAAGTGCCTACCATAGTACCCAATGATAAGAGGCACTCAATAAATACGTTTCTTGGCTAAGTACATAGCTTTTTAAAGCCATATTTTCAATATACTCCAGCAGTAGCATCTGAAGTTTAAAAATTGTGAGTAGATAGTTGACATTTTTTGATGAGACACAGCAAAAAAATGAAAGCCATCTAGGGGAAATCATATGAGTATCTGAAGCCATTAATTTAAAAATAAGGCCAGGTATGGTGGCTCATGCCTGTAATCTCAGTACTTTGGGAGGCTGAAGCATGAGGACCACTTGAGGCCAGGAGTTCGAGGCCAGCCTGGTCAACATGGTGAGACCCTGTCTCTACTTAAAATACAAAAATTAGCTGGGCATGGTGGCACATGCCTGTACTCCCAGCTACTCGGGAGGCTAAGGCACGAGAACCACTTTGAGGCAGAGGTTGTAGTGAGCTGAGATTGTACCACTGCACTCCAGCCTGGGCTCTGTCTCAAAAAAAAACAAAAAAACTATTTCTAAGTAAAATATCTTTCATAAGTTCTGCTCATAAATTTTTATTCTTTGTATCCAACTTAATTAGTATAGAATTTAATTTAGGAATACTTTTCCCTCAGTTTGCTTAAAATCCCACAACGAAGATTAACCAAATATATGCAACAGAAGACTCCAAATATACTGAGAATAATAAAATAGAAATTACATATCACCAGCACTTATTTATAAAATATTACTACAATATTATTAGCATATTAATGTCACTGCATGCTTAAATCTCATTGCTTTCATATGGTCTCACTCTAAATCTAAAGACATAAAGATGGGAGGACTCTTAGTTTAATATATCTTTTTACTTATTTAATTTTCCTAATTTTCTTCAGGGTGACTTGTCTCTCAAAGACTTGGGTATACAGGACTATTATAGCTGACATGCTAAAAAATGAACTTGTTTCGGCATACTAAAAGTGGAGGCTATAAAATATTTTTAACTTCTAGTTGGACAGCGAAAGAAAAACTTGTATCATGGAAAGAAGGACAGAAAGATATTTCCACTGCCAACAAAATCATGAGTGCGGAATTGGTTATCATTTATAATATAACTGTAGACTAAAAAGCCTCTTATATTTCATGCATGCCGAAAACTATGGGGCATATTTAGATGTACATATAAAAAATGCATCTCACAATTAAAATAATAGTAAATTTTCATCACAATCTCTCCCCCTTTCCTAACACGGTCTTAAACAGAAGATGGTTTTGAAGCTATGGTCCCAATATTAAATTTAATTGTAAATAATCGCAAAAGTTTCGAAGTTCAATGAGCTATTAAAAATGGAAAATAATAATATTCCCATGCTAAGAAAACCCACTGCCCTTGTCTTTTCCCTCTACCAATGGTACTACGTGAAAAAGACTAGAAATAAATGCCAAGATATAGAAATCTTTAATTAATGGAGCTGTCCAATTAAGTCATTCCCTCATCTTTGCCTCATGATGGAAAATAAACCATCAGGTACATAATGCGAGTCCGGATAGCAGAAGTGGCCTGCCTCTAACCTGGGATATGGAAGACCTGATTTTAATTCTGATCCTGCCACTTTTCTCTCTGGGGTTCAATTTCACTCATAAGAGCAAGAAATAGACTAGAGAACCTTCAGTTCTCACACTGTGGGATTCTAGGACTGCCCTGCCCTGTAATTAACGTGTGTCTTCTTCCAGATCCTTTTAGGCAAGGAAGAAGGGGCTCCTAGTGAAACACAGGGGAGGAGAACCCATCTCAGTTTGGGCTATTCTATATATCCTGAGAGCAAACCTAGCCCTGGCCTCATAGGCTTCATAGGTTGGCATGGCCTTCTGAGCCTCATAACCCAAAGGTCTCTATTTTCCATGAAAAGTAAGGCCAAGTGAGGCCTTGAAGAAAAGCCCCCTACTGCTGAGATGCATCATCTGCTAGTCAGAGACATGATGGCCTGATGAGGTTGGAATTGAGCCATTAGAGACTCTTCAAAACCCTGAGTCAGGGCATGCCACGAGGTAGGTACTGCTACCTCAACTCCCTGCCACCACTATCAGATGCTAGAAATTGAAGTAGTTTAATTAGATTGTCAAATTCACTTCTACCTGCCAGAATAAGAGAAATGCAGGCTAAAAATTGATTTGGAAAATAACAATCACTGTTTTGTAACCTAAAGGCTTAATTAGAAGTTAAGGGAATTGCCGTTCCTTCCATGCACCCCACTCTCAAACAGTTGCAAGCATGCTGAGCACCAACTGTGATGAATTTCAATGTGTACTGTTTCTTGAAGCAATATCCTGCCAGGCTGGCCTATATGATAGCAGAATCTCCAATCTTGTTATTTAAAAGAACAAGAAACAGATTTCTGGGACATTCCTACTCTTCTAAAAGCTGCAGAGACCAGTTGGAAAAATCTAAAACAGCAGCCAAGGGCAGAGAAGAATTTAATCTCCACCCCACCACGGGCTTTTCTCTTCCCAGCATAAGTGGTATGCAGAGGCCCACCTAGAAAAAGCAACGTGGAACAAAGATAATGAGAGCTAGACAGAGGGCAAAGAATGCTTATTCCACCCATGGGTGGTTTTTCCATATTAAAATGCTGTCTGCCTTTATAAAAAGCTATGAGCTCTTTAATTTCTCACATAATTAATTCCTGCCAGCTGGTATGCAAAACAAAGACAAGATGGGGAACAGTGTTATCATGATAGATAATTCTATATTAACATTTTTCCCTTAACACAGTTCAATTTACACAGTTTTCAAGCTAGGCAAACGATGTAGGACCAAGAGGCTCCTAAATATTAATTTGACAACTCTGCTCTGAAACTCACCGCAGACTGTTACCTCTTTGGAGGGAGAAGTTTGTATTTGAGTGAAATTTGGCATTTGCTTCAGGAGTTTCTTGGTTTCAAATAGCACCTCTAAGACATAACGGGCATGAAGTATCTGTGAGGGAGAAGCAGAGGAAATAGATGTAATGAACAAGGAAGAAAAACATGACTGTATAGAAAACTGTAAAGGTAGAGCACACGCGCACGTGTCAGGTCACTGCATTTCAGGATAATCTCTCAATTATTAGATCACTCTAACAGTGTCTGCCACATAATAAGCCCTCAGTGGATGTGTGCAACTGAATAAATGAATGATCATCCCAGGTCCTTAGAGCCCAAGAGAAGTGAAGGAAGGCACGCCCTTGCCCTAAGGAAACGTGCCGACAAAAAGCTGATCATAATAATAAAAGAGAAAAAGAAAAAGGAGAGGAAGAATGAGAAAGAGACAGAAAAATAGCAACAGTTTGCATTTGTTGGGACATCCTGCCACCTGGGATGGAAACTAGGTGTTGCTAGGCTGGGAGATGCATGAGGCAGCCACACCAGCTTCTAAGAAGCTCCTGAGTCAGGCCTCCCAGGTGTGGCCCCAATATTTGGTGTACAGCCTCGAGAATTTTCAGAATGGCAAGTACATTTATATAAAAGTCTAAGTATAAACCATATTCCAAATGCAGATAACACACTTGGATTGTCTCCTATTTATGACTATTCATCCCATTGCTCTCCTCCAGTCACAGTGTTTATGAGATTATTGTTTTGTTAGATTTGCTCTGTTTTATCCCCGGGACTGTTTTTAAATCCAGTGTGTCATTCTCCCTTTTTTAAATTATAAAATATTCCAATGGCTGGGTGCAGTGGCTCATACCTATAATCCCAGCACTTTGGGAGGCTGAGGTGGGTGGATCACTTGAGGCCAGGAGTTCAAGACCAGCCTGGCCAACACAGCA